GGCACAGGTGAGTCCTGGGGGACCAAGCACAATAAGTTCATGCATTCCTCTCACGGGTAACAGACACGGCTCGGCGTGGTATTGAGGGGAAGAAAGCCTGTGATGCTCTGGAGACATGACTTCGGAGGGACTCGAATCTTACGTTGACGTGCTCCATTGGTAATGGTCTTCAAGACCTAGATCAGAAGCTTCCAAGAAGCATGACTTAAATGGCAGCAACTTGGTACTGGTCTTTGCATAGGAGATTTTAGTCGGTCTGGGAAGTGATAATATCATGTACATAACGGTATAACTACGCATTATCCTATACACCAGGAACCCCTCAATAAAGTGTGGACAATTACATGTCGAGTGGATCTTGCATACCGCCAGAAACACAAGGTGTTCAAAGTGACCGCGATGCATAAGTACTTATTAATGGTGCTCCGAGCGTTGCGCCACGGATTTCGGAGGTGGGTGTTAACAGTAGGGCCGTGCCGCACTTCCGCTGTGAGAGTTGGTTGAACGCCACACCAGGAATGCACATCCAACTACTACTACTACTACTACTTCTTTCCTTCCTTGGCTCGGCTTGTACGATTCAAGCCAACGAAGCTCCTATGACACTACCTCTATCTACCGCCTGTTTGACACAATCCCATCACAGCACCGATACATTCGCACCTCCGAATTCGCTTCCAGCTTACGTTATAGTAGGCCCGATACTCAAGCCTTATTCTTCCGTCATCACCTCATTATTGTCGCGTTAGGGCTGACTATGCGTGTCTAATTTTAAGCTACTCACGATCGGAGAGTGAACAATGAGAGGCTGACCGATTTCTCGTGGAAGGCATCCGGATCAGCACGGAAATGCACACAAGCTTTCAAGATCACAACGACGTATGGATGTAAACTTTGAATTCGATGCTTGTTGGCATTCCTCGCTACCGGATACGAAGAGAATACCAGGTCGGCGGGCACCTTGACCCCTGTAGCATGACGGCAGAACAGCTGGTTACCTACGTCCCCTTACCTTGGGTCACACAGGTGTACCTATCTAGGGCTAGCCAAACGTGAGACTGGACGGTTTGATTTACCTTCCAGGCTGATTTATCATACTGTCCAATCAAACAATGCCCTCAAAACATCTGCAAGAGCTCGTTCCCGAGGTTTGCAGTCAGGTGATTCCCCAGAAGTTATAATCTAGAAAGAATAAAAGGGTGATGATATTCCAACATTCCAGGGACATTGCGGAATCTCCCCTGTTACCCCACAGTTTCCTGTGCCATCCTGCACGCTACTCGGCCTTGTCACATTAGTGTCATTTTGTTTACTCGTCAGGTTTTGCCTTGGCGCGCGTGTTACAAGTATGAAGTCGATTGTTTCAGTTGCCGCTCTGGCGGCACTGGTGTTGGCCGACGACAAGTTTATAACAGTACCAATCAATTCTAATGATATCAATGGTTCTGGTACGCCAAATATTGGGGTTAACACATTTAACCCCTGCTATCTAGCAGTAAGTTGCACCAACCAGCTATTCTTGGGCTGCGCTAACTGCTCAAAAGTGCGGTACGCTGAGGGGAGACTACGGCAAAGACAAGGTCCTCTACCCGCTTGACGATGCTTATAAGAGCTTCATCCAGTCGTACTGGGCCGCTCAGCAGAGGAGTTTCAGACCAGGATGTGTCTTCAAGCCTGAGACAGCCCAAGATGTATCCGCTGGTCTCCTCATTGCCAGTCGTGCGGGTTGTCCAATTGCTACTAGGAGCGGTGGACACTCGGTAGTGCCAGGAGCATCCAACATCCAGAACGGCGTCACCATCAGCCTTGAGAGGTTGAACAAGACGACAGTCTCCGCTGACAAGAAGAGTGTGGTATTGGAGCCCGGCCAGACATGGGGTCAAGTGTACTCTAAGCTGGAAAAGGAGAACATTCAAGTCCTTGGTGCCCGTGTAAGACATGCTCCATAAAGGTGAATTATGCTCTGCTAACTGTCATGTAGTTTGGTGCAGTTGGTGTTGGAGGTTTCACTGTTGGTGGAGGTAGGGATTTACAGTATAATAGCACAATTTTCAACATGAGCTAACATGCAGCCCCAGGCCTCTCCTACTATTCGAGTCAGTATGGCCTTGCGTGCGACAACGTCATTTCGTATGAAGTAGTCACGGCGAGCGGTGATATCCTCAATGTCAGCAAGACGTCGTATCCCGACCTCTTCTGGGCTCTTCGAGGCGGCGGCAGCAACTTTGGTATCGTGACCAAGTTCACTGTAGCCGCTTTCAAGGCGAATCCACTCCTGTTTGGAGGCTCACGAATCTACACCAAGGAAGCTTTCCCTGCCCTCATCAAAGCGTTCTACAGCGTTAGCACCAACTTGGCAAAAGACCCAAAGGCCTTTCAAGGCTTATCATTTGGTTATGGCGGAGCTCAGCTTGGCAACGCAGCACAACTTGATCTGGCCTACACTGAGCCAAACCCCAACGCCCCTATTCTTGCCGAGTACAATGCAATCGACCGCAAGACCATCGTTCAGAGTAGCGGAGAAAACACGACGCTTGCCGCGCTCTCAACGAAAAACAGCGATCCTGACGGTCTCCGACAAGGATCCCTAACCTGGACCTTCAAGCTGGACCAAAACCTCATTAGTACCATCAAGGATATTTTCTTCGAAGAGGTCACAAGCATCGCCAACGCCAGCGTCAACACCCCGTCGATATCCTTCCAGGACCTCTCCGCCACACTCATCCAAAAGACGACTTCCAACGGTGGTAACCCGCTCGGCCTGGACCCGGCCGACGGCCCTCTAACCATTGCCCTCATGAACTTACGCTGGTCCGACGCCGCCGACGACGAGCGCATTCAAGCGTTTGCATTGAGAGTCAAGCGCCGTGCCTCTGCTGCCGCGCTCGTCGCAGGAAAAGCCACAGACTACGTTTACATGAACTACGCCGGCCCTACGGAAGATGTGATTGCTAGCTATGGCGCGGAGAACAAGGCGAGGCTGCTGGAGACTGCGGCCAAGTATGATCCGAATGGTGTGTTTCAGAAGAAAGAGCCTGGAGGATTTAAGCTCGAGGGGGCGCCGAGTGATAAGGACGAGCAGATTAATTAGGCTCAATGGACGTTACGTGAGAGGGTTAGGGAAAGGGTAAAGGTAGAGCACTTTAGGCAAAGCATAAAAGTCAATCATCAAATAACTTGTTTCCTTCCTCCCATCTAATCTTGTTGTCCCACCCATGGTGACATCAATATCCACGACTTTCAAATCCAACAATGCCCCAACGCGTAATAGAAACCAACAGAGCTCCTCGCCCAGTCACGATGACCGACGAGGAGAGAGCAACCAGAAAAAGCCAAATAATCAAGATGTCAGTAAAAATTGAGCGAGCGAAGAAAAAAATGCTAAAGAAGGAACTTAAGGTTTTGATAAGTGATATAAGCTAAATATCGTATATTTATACAGTTGCTGATAAGTATAGCATTTAAGCACTATCAACATCTAGCAACACCCCCCCCCCAAAAAAAAAGAGCAACGAAGAGCCAACAAATAGGACAGGGCGTAGCTTTTGAAAAGTGTAGCGATGTGAGGATGCGATTATGGGGGAGAGTGTAAATGAGGACTTTTTATTTTATTTTGAAGTACCTTTAACACTATTCTTTTTTGGGGTGGTACTGCGTGATGTACTCTAAGGCCCTATATCAACTACCAAACTCCCCATCTCCCTTTCCACTCCTCTCATCTCCCTTCATCAGAACCCACATCCACATCCATGTCCCCATTGCCACCCCCGAAAATACCAATTTCATCTTCCATCCATCTTTCCTGCGCCATTCCCCCCCCCCCAACAATCCATCCACCTTTATCGCATCAGTCAGCTCAACCATTCTAACCCGCCGCAATAGTAAAAAACCAAAAAAAAGAACGTACAATTTACATAACCGCACATCCTGGTCCGACGAGTGGATTCCGTTGTGCCGTGTACACGCCGGTGTGCTTGTGCTTATCCTGAGCGTCTATGCGTTTGGTGATGGTGGTGGTAAGAAAACCGTAGGTGAGGTGTTTAATGTATGGAAGGAGGATGCGGGGTATGCTGAGGGAAAGAGCCGGGGTAGAGGTGTTGTGGGGTTGGAAGGGGAGGTGGAGGGGTGGCATTTTGAGGGATGATTGGGTTGAGTGGTTGGATTAGGTTGATGGTGATGTGGGGGGGGGTTGTTGGAAAGATCGACCGTGAAGTGACCAAGTTGGATATTTTGTAAAGATTAAAGGAGGAGTCGGGCCAGCCGAATATCTCGTAGGATGAGTGTTATTAGATTTGGATTGATTGAGGGGGAGTAAGGTGGAGAGGGGAGGTTGGGGGTGTTAGATATAGGTATGGTGGATTGTATGGGTATGCTAGGTATTGTTCGGCTTGCAATTGTTCTACTTATGGTTGGTGACATGGTAGTGGAAGTGAGTGTGTGTTTTTTTACAGATGGGTGAGCAGGGGTAACTGGTAGTATTGTTCCCAACCCGCAGGCCACAAGTCAACTGCCTTCGAACTTGCTCAGCTTGGCGGGGTGAAAGCAATGGTCACGCTGTTCACTGCAGAAAATACGAGTGTCTGATATTTTTTTAACGAAAGTGTGTGTCATTACTAACTTGTGTTTTATCTCAGGATTATCTATTATCTTATGTGTATTAAACGTCCCGCGCATACAAATCAATCCATTAACCCACCCATTATGTACCCAGACATTATCCGTCCCAAACTCATGTATCATAGCTCTTTTAATTAAGTCCGTCAAATGCATTACGCACCCTAGTTTCCTCCAAGACCTCCCAGGAGTCCCGCAAGACCAGCGGCGGCACCACCGGCCTTCTTGCCCTTACCCTTTGCCGCATCACCAGCCTTGGCACCGAGGACATTCTTGGGGTTGGTTCCAGCATTGCTGTTGATCATCTGACCGCCGTTGACACCACCGTTGGGGGGGGTGTTGTTGTTTGCCTGTGCAGCGGCGTTTTGGTATTGGGTAACGGCAGCAGCGTTGGGAGGATTGATAACCATGACCATACCTTGCTGGCAGTGTTGGGCTTGGGGGCAGTAGACGTAGATGGGCTGGTTGTCGGTAATGGGGACCATGAACATAGGGGTGTTGCCAGCCTGGCGACGGCCGTTGGCTGGGTTGGGGCTGCCCTTGGGGTTACCGGGGATGGGTTGGAAGTCGGAGAAGAGGGCATTGGGTCCGGGTTGGCAGGGCTGGTTTGCTGTCGAGGAGGCCACGCTGTGGTTCTGTGAGGGTAACAGTTAGCGTTTGATAAAGCGAAGAGCAAAGTGTTGATGGACGTACCTGAGCGACAAAGTTGAATGCGACCGTATCTCCGGGTTGAGCAGTGACGGAGTTTGGTGTGAACTGAAACTTGTTGTTGGCAGCGACCGTGACCATCATGGTCGCGGCGGAGACTGTCAAGCTCTGAGCAAGAGCTGCACATATGATAGTAGAAAAGAGCATGATGAAGGTGTTTGTTTGTTGATTAGACGAATTATGGTGTAGGGTGTGGTAAGAGTATATCTGGTAATGGTAGTAATAGAGTAGAAGTGACCTGCAAATCTGATGACTGAATCATGGCATGGCATCAAGGAAGATAAATACTCAGAATTCTGGGTATGCCTAAGAGCCTAGCTTTGAATGTTTTCCTCGTATACCGAAGGAGAAACGGAACATGAAGCGATTGAAAACATGCTTCTGACCTTGATGACGAAGTTGTTGGCCATGATCGACTCAGAATTGCGTGGAGTTTGTGCTGTCAGATGTTTCGTTCCGAGTCTCATGCCAAGTCCCAAACATGAAGAAACGCTTCGTGGGGTGAGATGACAAAACGGATGGACGAATTTGTGAGAGAGTCGAGGCAAACAGTACGAGAATCGAGGCAAACAAAGGCATCTCTTGTTCTGTGCGTTGCAGATGGGATGGGCTGATGGGTTAGCAAACATTGTCGGGTTGCAGGTCATGGATGCGAGTTAGGTAGTGAGCAAGTTGACGATGTTCGTCTTGCGGGGGGACATTGACAGCTTGAGGCATGGACACAGTGTGGATGTATGTCAAGATGATAGTGATGATGTACGCAGCTGGGGGCAAGTGCAAGCGGAAGAAGAAAAACGGCAGTCACGTGAAGGGCTTTGCAAACCACATGCTCGGTGCACGCGATAGCAGGGATGCAGGCTGGCAGGACAAAGTATCCGAGAAGCTCGGAGGGGGTTCGAAACAAGTAGCTCTGTGGCACCAGAGCGTCAGCAATCTGGATCATCAATCTGGGTGAAACAGAGTCGGAGACGCGGGAGCAAGGTGAAGCACGAGGTGTTTATGAGATGAGGACGGGAAGGTGATACAGCGAGGATGGGACCAGTGGTGGTGTTGTGTATATATGAATCCGCCATAGCCATGGCCTTGCCAGTGCCTTGTGCCTTGGGGGAGGGGGAGTAAGCCTCACGAGAGCACATGGGCAGGTACCGGAATGGGTAGCTCGGCCCCACTGTGCGTGGCCGTGCTGGCCCGATTGAGGCGACGGAGCAAAGGGAGCATGATTTCTTTTTCATCGACAAGCCAAGTCAGAAGGCAGCAAAGCATTTTAGTGTTTTTTCTAGACGGCTCGGGGCCTAGTAGTGCTTAGCGCAGCTTACTGGACGGAAGAGGCGTGGTGGGCAGCAGGTGAGATAAGATTTGCAGCACTGATCAGGGCCGTTGGACAGGTGTTGTCGCCTGTGAAGGAGCCGCCGCCGCCGCCGCCGCCGCTGCCGCCCGCCCGGCA